TTTCTTAAAGACACAAAGGTAAAGATACTTTTGAACTTTATTTATTTAGTTTCTATACTTTTCAACTTTATTTAGTTTTCTTCCTTCCACTATCACAAATCATTATATATATATAAATTGCTAAGTGGTGTTGTTTGTCTCCCACTTATTTCAAAAGAAGTCTTACTTCTTAATATTTTTAAATTACCTTAAAATAAATATGAATTAATAGCTAATTTCTCTCTATAATTACTTTTTACTAGTAGTGTTCAAAAGAACCGATTGGAACCGGAATTGGCGGGTATCCGGGGTTTGGTTCCAGTTTCTACTCGGAACTAGCCGTCAACAGGTAGATTTCGGTTCCAAAAATTTGGAACCGTTACTGTGCGGTTCCGGTTCCGGTTCTTATAGTTAGGAACCGGAGCCAGAACTGGGACTGAGACTAATATAAAATAAAATTAAAGAGTAGGGGTTACTAAAAACTTTTGTAGAAAAAGTAATGTGAATATATTTATATTTATATTTCATAACATTTAAAGTAAGTTGATTTGACTTTTGAGAATCTATCTTTACAAGTAATGGAGTTTGTAATTTTGAATTTATAATTTGTAATTTTATTTTTGTTAACAAGTTCCAAGGGGGAGGGGGGTGTATTTGTAAGTTTTAAGGGTTTTTTTGCCATTTTAAAAACTTTTGGGGGGTCATTGTAATTTTATAGGGTACCTAGAACGGTTGTTACAAGTTTCGGTTCTGGGTACCTAAGAACTGGAACCGTCAGTTCCGATTTTGGTTCCAAATTTCAAGGAACCGTCGGTTCCGATTCCTTCAAAAAATGCAGGGTACCCGGAACCGAACACCCCAACTTTTTACACGCCCACATCTTTTAATAAATAAAGAGATATTCCATAATCTGACAACCATATCAATTAATCATTTACACGTCAATATGAATGGTGTGAAATCATTTTGTTGATATTTTTGTCAAACTTATGTTATGGTGACACATTTTGCCAAGTGACGTTTTCTCTTTGTTGTCTTGCCCATCAAATTTATTTTGATTCATGATATTCTTGTGTGATCTAACTTTACATGTGTCACAATTTCCTTATGTGGTCCTAAAAGGTTTTAAGATTTTGTCTGTAGTCCCCCAAGAAAGTGAAAAGATATGTTTGTGGTCTAACAAAAAGTTGGAATTCTTTTTGTCCTCCACGTGTTCAACTGTCAGGCTTATGCCTTTTGCTCTTTCTTTTCATGTGTGTGCACAATGGATGCGTGCTTGCACACTTATGTCATATGCATGTTGCATTTCATTTCGCATTTTACTTCGTGTGTGCGCACACCTTTCTGCTGTGCTAACATCGCATGTTTGACTCATTTTTCATAAGTTGCATTTTTTTCTTTAACAACTAAGATATTTTCCTTGCATCTTTTGTGTTGTCATTTGGACCACTTAGAGGTGTCCCAATATCCTTTAGTGGTCCAAGGAAAATCAACATTTTTCCCCTTTTGGTTATGGTCCTTAATTGAAGCTGAATACATTTCTATTTTTGGACCAACACATGTCAGCCTTTGTTTGCTGGCCAGAATTGTAGTGCCTGAATTTGGTTTATTTTCTCCATTCTTGCGACTTGTTTGGCTAACCCTTATATATATATATATATATATATACTGTCTCTTTATACACATATATNTTGTGCTCTGAAACTTTCAGAGAGTTTTTTTTTTCCTTAAAGATTCCCCATATGTTTTTGTGCTAAACACTTATCATCCTTTATCTTTGTTGAGCTAAAAGGAAGTTCATCTTCTTCGTTATTTGTTTTCCTTTTTGAACCTGAATATCTATTTTGTTGGTGCTCTGAACTTTTTAGAGAGTTGTTTTTGGTTAGGTTCTTTTATAGAAAAATACTATGCTTACTCACCACTTGTACTAACTGCCATACAACCTTTGTTAAAATTTTACATGGTACCTGTACTATGCGTATAGTACCAGTACTATGCGTTATATTTACAAAGGATAGTAAGATGGTTAGTAAGATGGTGAGTAAGTATAGTATGATTCTCTTTTATATGGGTTTGTGGTAGAAACTTTCTTGTTTATCTTCATTGTTGAATGGCGGCTAGAACTTGGTTCCTTTGTTGATGCTAGAGTGTGTCTTCAGTGACTGAAGTTTCGTTGGAACTCAAGTGTTTTCCAGGAGTGAACTTGGTGTGAAGAGATCTGTGGTGCAATAAGACGTTAGAGATTCAAAGGGTGATGTTTAGTGTAACTAGAACATGGAGTTATCTTAGCTATAGCTAAAATCAATTTTGAACTATATCTTGTCATGTTTGTTGATTAGTGGATTTGCTTCAATCTGGACGAGGTTCTATGGATGTAGACTAAAAGTGGATTTAGTCGAACCATGTATATGCTGATGTGCTTTACATTTATAGTTTGATTATTTTTTATTTATTGTAAACATGATTGTGTTAACACAACTTGGTAAATCATTCCATTGTGTCTTTAAAAATGGGTACCTAAACGTTAAATAGAGTTCACAAACTCTAACACATTTCAAGAAAAATAAATTAGAGACACCATTCATCGGGTGTAGTGGCAGATCTAGGATTTTTGCTTAAGGGGGGCCTTCGCTGCTCCACCATTATTTGCCAAAAAACTAGTGAAAACTTTAAAAAATCATCAAACCTTAAGCAAAGAAAATAATATAATATTAAAAATTTGAGAAAAAGGAATGCAATAATAAAATACTTTCCTACTTGAATAAATCTATGAGAAGCAAAATTTTGAGTAAACCTTGAGCAAAACCTTCTTTTATTTTATTGTTTTTTTAATTTTTGGCTTCCAAATATTATGATATAAATTTTTATGATTTTGATAAGACATAGTCTAAGGTAAAGTCAATTAAAACTTAAATTAAGTTAACGTTGCGTCGACTTTTAATATGAATTAATAAAAAAAAAGGGAATTTTCTTGGTATAAACATAGATAATAACTCAAATTTCTTTAATAATTTTAAACAGCTAAATGGTGATGTTTGAAATGTAGGAAAGTGGTGGTAGAAGAATGAAGAATAAGTCTTTTAAAATATAGTTAAGGTTTTAATTTGAGACAGTAGGTTCATTCTTAGACACACAACACAAAATAAACTCACAAGATCCATGTCTTTTTTCCTCAAATTAGAATAAAAAACCTCTTAAAAAACAAGCATGATTCAACTCTAAAATAAACTGAATTGAAATGAGCAATACACACCTAAAACTGATAAAACATAAAACAGTTAATTGTAGTACCTTGAGTAGTGAAAACTTCAACAATTTTAGTCTTTAAAAGTTTTAAGAGCGAATAGCATAGAAAAAAGAATGAGAGAGTAAAGATTTTTGAGGATAAAATCATAAAAAACAAGTGGACCCGTGGAGAAAAAGAGTAGAGTGAGTTTTAAACTTTTAATATGACGTGGGCTTGAAATATATATATTAATAACAAGTTTTTTGTGGGCTTAGATATATGGATATATGTACAATAATTCTCATTTTTTAAAAATCTAAAGGTGAGCCTGGGTATATATATTAAGAGTAATGCTAGCCTTACTCACTTCTCTTATTCATTTTTGTAAATATATAGCATAGTACGGGTACCATACGCATAGTATGGGTACTATATGTTATTTTAACAAAAGTGAGTAAGAAAAAGTGAGTAAGAGAAGTGAGTAAGGATAGCATTTTTTATATATTAATAGCAATTTTTTGTGGACATTTACTAGTAATTGTTTTTTTAAATATGAGGCCTACCCTCAAAGGGTTGGATCCACCCTTGATCGGGTGTCTATCTTTAAGAAGAATAGTAAGATCATCAGCTTTTTATATGGTATGTTTGTCTTTTTGAAAAATAAAATAAAATTGGTAATGGTTATGTGGAATTTAAAAGCTTCTTTAGATGATGTGTGAAATTTTTATCGGAGAAAAAATAAACACATAGAGATTTCTAATTATGTCGCTCACCAGCAAAACCAGATGCCCAGTATAGGCCCTTTCAAACTGAAGCCCACTTAATTTGCATTTAGCAGGATAGTTCTGAGAGCACCGGGTCTAATTAGGGTGATTAAATTAATTGAATCTTAATTATATAATTTTAAATTAACATTTCTCGATGCTGTGTATTTTACCAGAAATGGTTATCAAAATCAATTGATTTTCATCGTGTAACTATAATTTCATATTAAATTAGCAAGGAAATAGTGCTGGTAATCACTATCATCACCCATCAAACTTCTTTTTTTTTTTTTTTTTTTTCCCTTTTTCTCTAAGCAATTGTTATGTCACTTCACCAGAAATCTCTAAAACTTAGAATATAAACGAGAAAGGTTGTGATTATAAGAGATTGATGTGGTCAATCTCAACAACTTAATAGGTAGATTGCACTTTCTTTCAATTAAGATAACTCAATGTAAATGACAATTACCAAACTTTTGTCAGTTCCATTTCAATATATAAAGTAAGAACAAAGTTAATGAAATGGGCAGAAACCAAACAAATAAATTAACCGGGTTTATTAAAGTGCCATTGTTGAGCTTTGGCACAAAAACGATTTTCCTTCAATTTTAGGAAACTTGGGGTAATAAGCATTAGTTTCCCAAAATTGAAGAGAATAACAATTTTACACCAAACCTGAAGGACGTACGGCAAGTAATTAACTGTAAATTAAAGTGCTATCTATATTATGTGCAGAAATGAAAAAGAAGCATATGGGGAAGATAATCGATGTTGAGAAGTAATGAAAAAAATAAGAGAAGAATCTATTGTATTTGTATTAACTTATATATTAATCGTTATTACAATGATGGATCAGTTGTTATACATAAAATTTATGAAACGCAGAAGCACAATCTAATAATCTTGAGCGTAGAAGTCATTAATCTCTCTGACATTAAGCTGAAACAAAGAAGAACAATCGTTATACATCAACCACAACATGTGCTCAAACAAAATTGCATCTACATCCACTAATATTACTCTAATTTTGAAATTGGAATGATCTTTGTGGTTAGTGATTATCATGAGTAGTTTCTTCATTTTGTCTCTTTTTTTCGTTAATTTTCATCAGCTGTTAAATTGCACATGAGAAATGTAGATGAAGGATATAGTTTTGATTTGGGCTATAAGGGTATTCAATTTTCTTGTGTTTTCTTTCATTTTCTTAGCAAACAAACAAAAGGGTATTATAAAATTGGGTCAATCCGGTAACGGTACTGGAGACTGCGGTTTCTTAATAAAAAATTGTCATATTAGTAGCATTCAAACCTTAAAGTGGTAATAAATTTGAATAGTATACTACATCATCTTAGTGAAATAGAATGTACTTGTCTTATACAATAACATTGTAATGGCGTCTTGAAATTACTAGGCTGGTACAATAGTGCTCCCTGTATGTAAAGCGTCAATGTAAAATTTGTGAAAGATATATGCAAGTTGTAGCACAAAAGTAAGACTTTTAACGAGATGGGTTATAATGTAATATGCTCCGTACTCATGTATTTATTTTACTGGTTAGGTGCAATGATGTAATCATTTCCTTTAAAATTTTGTTTACTGGAATTAATAGTGTTGAGCTTTGTTTGTTGGTGAGTGTGAGCTTAGAATTCAAGATTGATGATGAAGATGAGGGTTGCAGTTTGTCGACACCTTTTGGTTTAGACTCAAAGGATGAGATGGAGTCATCATCACCAATCTCTTTTTCGCGTTCAGTCATGAAGAGCTTGGAAGAAGACACTCTGTATCCTTGTTTACAATGTTGACTAGTTTTCTTATTTTGTTGGAAATTTTGGCATGTTGGTACTGACCGGTAACATTATTGAGGTAGTTAACAATGCAAGAAAGGTAACATTACATGCCAGTTAACAACGCAAGAATGGGAACAAAAGGCAAAATAAGTTGAGATATTGAACTTGATGATGACAAATAGTTCAATATTAGGCTTGGTTGAATTGATATTTTTCCCCTCTCTTTAGTGAGAAAACCATACTGTTAAATTTGGAGGTGCAGCAACTGAAGGAAGTGTATAAGTTACAATTATTTTGAGATCTGCAAAAGATTCTTTACAAGTTGGAAGTATAGGTTAATAACTATGAGAAAATCTCATTGATGCGAAGAATTCTGTTTTCCTTGATTTTCTTTAGGCTTGATGAATCATTGAGTTTAAAGAATCTTGGGCTGTCAGATGTTTGTCTTGCCACTTTAGCATCTGAAGGCGAGTAACAATTGCTTCATGGCTAAAACGTTTCTTAATAATTCTATAAACTAAAATTTCAGTTGGTTCAATTTATAACCAAACTTGTAATGCTTGCTACTAATGCCTACTCTGGCTTTCTGTTTTAGTTGATAATGATAGCACTGATGACCAAGATATGTGTTTCCAAGAACCAATGAAGTAAGTTTTTGAGCTCTTAAAACTTTTTGTGTTGCTCAAGGTTGAGCAAAGCTCTGTTAGCTCTTTTCTTAGCACTTGCTCTAATTCTTTCAATATTAGATGTTACGGGGACAAACTGCATGAGATAAAGGATCCAAGTCACCATACTATGAAGATGGAAGGTAGAAAGAAAATAGTCCGTTAAGAGTTTCATTATATCGCATCAATGAGTGTAATGATTATAGTTATCATTTATTGTGAAAGTAGGGGAACTGAAAGATGAGCCAATGTCCTTTGAAGCTACTGGTCCTGTAATAAAGGTATCGAAGGATGACTATGACAGCATTCCGTCCTACATGAAAACCCTAACTTCATGGGAGGTATGAAATTTTTTATGTTTCTCGTGATAATTTATTAAAAGAACATTATGTTATAAATAATTTGGGGGTTACTAAAGGGAATGACTTTTATTGAATTTGGAGAAATAAGATGGTAAAATGTGAATCTGTCTTGGAACTCAAGGAAATTTAAACCCCACAAAATCTGTATCCTTATCTATTTTCAGCAATTCTTGAATGATGGAAAGCTTGACTGATCACTGGTTAATACTCTTTTGCCAAGGTTTATAAGTATCAGATTCTCTGTCTTCTATAACAATTATATTTGCTCTGTTAAAATCACACAGTAAGCAATTGTCATGTAACAAACTGAAGCTTGTTTCTTTGCCTTGTCGGTTACATCCTTAGGCTAATGGTTTTGTATCTCTACTTGAAATTAAAAAATATAAACCGTCGATGAGGACTTTAATCTGTTTAGGAATTCATTTAGTATGATAGCTGGAATGGAACATTTCGAAGCTGTATGTTGCATCATGCTTCCTGGATAATTTAATGCAATTGAGTTGCCACTGCCATTATGCCCTTTATATACTATAATTGCTTTATAGTTTCTCTCATATCTCAATGAGCAAGCAGCAGAAATGAGACAAGGCTTCAGTTCTAAATAGGGTATGCCAAGGGCCAAAAAATTAGTTCTTCTGTTTATCAATATTCTTACAACATGGAATTGCCTTTTGATTAAAATATGTTGCATGCATATTTGAATGGCTTTATTTAGGATTTTATAGCTAATAGCTTAATAATCTTGCTGGTGCATTATTGAGTAACAGGATCTGCTTGTTGCTGTCGAGAAGATCAACTCAAAAATGAGAAAGGAGAAAACAAAAGGATGTGACTACTTCCAGCAGGACGAAATTGCATCTTTGGACCTGGGTATGTATATCCAGCCAGTTTTTTTTTTTTTTTTTTTTTTTTAAATTGTACGTTTTCATAGTTATCAAATAGCAGTACTGCTGTTTTTGGTACACATACAAATAGCAGTACTGCTGTTTTTGGTACACATACAAATAGCAGTACTTTTTAACATATTTCACATCTTTTGCTCTTGTTTTCATTCAGGACACAAAGCCAGAGCTTATCTACTGCTGCTCACACGTCTAAATCTTTTACGTGTTGAAACAATCGATGGTCGTATAAGCTACCGAGTTCTGTGAACAGACATGATATTACTAAATATAGGTATAGATAATGCGATCATATACCTTATTCAAGTTTTACTCTCTTAGGTTCATTAGGAGCTCCGCTTGTTTTCTTTTTGGTTACAGCATTTTGCTTATACAACCTTTGCTGCATAGCAATTAGATTTGTAAAACTTCATTGATAGGTTTTTTCTTTTTATATTGTTTTATGATATTTGTATTTTTCATTCTTCCATTACGTTAATGATAAAAGAGCTTATATGTTTGTCAAATGAAATATATTTTTCAAAATGTTCAGCTTTTTATAAGGCCGAATTACAATTTTTCCACTAAGATTGGCATAAAGACACTTTGACAAATTTAATTAGAGTAAATGACTTTTTTCCACCCAAATAATGGTCTAATGACACTTTTCCACCTAAAGCACAATTCCGTAAATAAATTTGGTTGTGGAGAAGGATAGGATGGTTAAAAGTCTGTTATAAATAAGGGTAGGACGGTCAATTAACAAAACCCTATCAACCCCCAACCGTTTGCACCACCATTTGTTGCCACTCCCTCACCATGCAACTGTCGTGTTTAAGCTCAATCGGCTTGATTCCAACACTGTAGATACCCCATGACCCAACCATCTTCACGCACTTGACCCCTTTAAAAACCATAACTTTCTCGACTAATTGAACCCATCGTTTGCTAGCCACCAGCAACTTGATTGTGTCGTGCTTTTTTCCCTTTTTTTAGCTAATTTTGTTGTTGGAAACCTTCCTTGAGGCCACTTTTGTAACCATCGGCTATCCCTCACCAAAACTCCATCTTCCCCAACCACGACAGTTTGCCATTTGTTGGCCACCACCCCAATTAGGGTTTTGCGAAATTGTTGAATTTTGGGCTTAAATTGGTGTCGGTGTTGATTGATTTTGGAAGTGTGTTGATTTGTGCTGTGATTTTGAGTTGTAATTGCATTTTTCGGCCACCACCACATCTTTTCCTGGCCAACCTTCCAATTTGTCCACCAACTGTTTGGGGATTTGCCCTAACCAAAACCACTCAGCTTCTAACCATATCATGCGTGCGGCGTCCCTTGCTTGCAATTGGTGGTGTTGAGGGTGAATTATGGCAGTTGTGCAGTGGGTGTGGGTCACGAGAAACAAACATAAAAGTTAGTTCACATATGAGCAATAATGAAGAAGATATAGACCAATTTCGTGCTCCCCAATTCTTGGCAAGTCAGCAAACAAGGGCTACATATGTTGGTCCAAAAATGGAAAAGATTTCATCTATCTTTTGGGACCACAACCAAAAAAAGGAAAAAAAACTTATTACCCTGGACCACAAGAGGATATTAGGACACCTGTAGGTGGTCTTCATGACAGCACAACAAATGCAAAGAAAATATCTCAATGGATAAAGATAAAAATGCAACTTGTGCAAAGTAAGTCAAACGTGCGATGTTAGCACAGCAAAAAAGTGTGTGCACACACGATGTAAAATGCGAAATGAAATGCAACATGCATATGTTTGACATAAGTGTGAAAGCACACATCCACTATGAACACACATGAAATGAAAATGCAAAAGGCATAAGTCTGACATAGCTAAACACGTGGAGGACAAAAACAATTCCAACTTTTTGTTGGACCACAAACATATCTTTTTTCTTTCTTAAAGGACCACAAACAAAGTCTTACATCCTTTTAGGACCTCATAAGAAAATTGTGACACATGTAAAGTTAGGTCACAAAGAATATCATGAATCAAAATAAGCTTGATGGGCATGACAATCAAAGAGAAAATGCCACTTGACAAAATGTGTCATCATAACATAAGTTTGACAAAAATATTAATAGTGGTCATGACATCGAACCTTCTTCCAGGGAAGTAAGCTTTACTCCATCGCTTGAAACCAATATCATGCTCAAGATACTTAGCAATTCTATTATCCTTGATTCGGATTTGCCGGAAGTGCCCCTAAAACTCATCAACTCGATAAGCTTTTGCTGTCATGTAGTATGTCGAAAAGAGGCCAACACACTTAAACTTTTGTTTTATGTTCTCACCAAGGTGGCTTATACAGAATCCGTGATGTGCTTGGGCGTAAATAGTGACAATCCTCTTCTTTATAGAGTTGTACCTATTGGATATTATGCACAACTCGTCACTGTCAGACATTATCGTAAGTAATTGTTGGAAAAACTAGTTCACGACTTGTTGTTCTCAAAGTCAACCATACACCATGCAACGGGGTATGTGTAATTCTTGCTATCTTGTGTAGTGGCCACCAACAATGTACCTTCATACTTTCTCGTCAAAAAGCAACCATCAACAGCCAACATATTTCTCATGTTTACAAAACCCTTTATAGCAACACCATAGGCAACAAAAACTATTTAAACCTCATATTCTAGTCCCACTTCAAAGTCGTGTTGCTAACTTGGTTTGTCAACTCAAGCATATAACGGTACACTTATAATACTGCGTAACCATGCTCCGGCGTACCCCTCACAAAATCTTGTGCATGTTGTCTCTCTTTCCAGCGTTTCCAATAACTAACATATCATCTCAACTCTGTATGCACAAGTCTCTGAATGTCCTTAGGAGGTGGACCTTTCCCTTCAACAAATTGACTTTTGACAAATTATCCAATAACATCAGCAGAGGCTTGTCGATGCTCACATGAATTATGTCCTAACCCACATGTGTGCTTGCGAGTATATGTGCTAACAATAATTTTTTCGGACTCCGCCAGCCTTTTACAATAAACCAGTCACTTGTACTTTCGGTCACGACATGCAACCTCACTAGTGATAAATTAGACTTTTTGGTGATAAACTCAAAATTACCTCTCACGGCAACAAGTTTTAGCTTCCCCACCACTTCCTCCTTGTTGTCAAATAAATAACCTACGCGCAAGTGCGATCCATCAATAAAAACGTGAGCTAATTCACTACTACCCACAATTGTCGCCTCTAAACTTGTATAAACGACCATAGTGTTCTCTTCCTCACAAACTACACCTTCTGCATAATTTGTATTTATAGGAATCTCTATATCTGCGAGAACATGTACTGGGTCCTCCTTGTCCACATTTTCATTCTGCCCCACATGACTAACCTCTTCTACAGTGTCATCCTCACCACTCAAATCACCGCCTAATCTTGATTTTTCAGCAAAGAAATCAATACTCTCGTAGTTAAAATTAAAACCAGCACTCTCCCCACCCAAATTACCGCTCACTCTTGAACCAATTTCCAAAGCTTTATCTACAACCGAAACCATTAAAATCGGCCTCGAACCATTATCGCCCACATCAAGATAAATAATTTCACATCTTCATCAAACATTAATACAATTGGGGGTACCCTAAAATTTGCAGGAGCTCTGCTTAAAACAGACTTTATAACTATATCACTATGTGAGCAACTCAACCCATCTTTTCTAATGATTTCATCAATCAACTCATCAAAACTAACTTTTGTACTCACAACAATTGCTTTAACTTGTTTGCTCTTCCCAATCCACTTCCAACAACTTTTTTCTGCTACCACTCACCAAAATATTCAACACCCAAAACTACTTGTTCCATGTCTAAGAATAGCCAAGTACCTATAATGCAAGAAAACAAAAATTATTAACCGATATATTAAGGGTTAACAGATTTTAAAAAGCATCTCCAGAGTCGCTTAAGGATGTGGTGTATTGCTTAAGTGATTTGGTATATCGCCTACTGGATCATTTAAGCGATCTTATGCCATATGCCAGACTTATAGCAGATCGCTCAAGCGATCTTCTGCCATATACCTGATCGCTTAAGCGATTTGCCATATGCTGTATTAAACCAGACATACCAAATCGCTTAAGCAATCCATCAGATCCAGAACACATTTTTAGTCATCTCCACCAACAATCGGTGCTACCACCCCCAGCTACCCACAATGCAAAAAAATATTCAACAAATTTCATTCATTTGAACTTGCATTACATCAAACACAACCCAACAACCTAAACAACTAAATCAAAATCATAACCCAAACCCAATCCATCATTAAATCTTTGTAAATCAAAATTTAAAATGCAAAGAGTAGATACACATTCCTAGATGAAATGTCAAGAGGAGGAGGAGGCAGATCTTTGGCGGAGAAGATGTTAATTGTGAAGGAAGAAGAAGATNAAGACATATGAATTATAATGAAAAGAAAACTTTGGGCCCAATTTTCTATTGTTATTATGCATTGTACTAGTTTTCAGCAGTTGTTACACGTTCTTCCTCTCCCGTTTAACCTAACCACTCATAAATAAATAACGTGTTTTTCCTCAATTCTACCCCAGGAAAAACGAAAATTACTTTCTTAGACCTTTCCTAAATGATAGACTTCCAAAACTGTCAATTCCTTATCAGATATGGAAAACATAATTCGTAATCCAGCTTGCACCAGGATTCTCACAATGTAAAAGAACTTTTCTGGGCTTGGTCACTTCAGAAAAGTTGTAGTCCTGGATGTATAGATGAATTTGGGCTCTTGAATCACCTGCTTTTGATATCTGAAGCTCTAGTTAGGCCCATTCGAAGACTCAATACTCAGCCAGGAAATCCTTCAGTGAATAGGATTCCAGGTCCGGTTTTGCAACAACTAATGAGGGCCTAAACAAACTCGGATTCTCACCCATAATACCTTCATGGAAAGCTTGATTCATCTACTTTACTTTTTTTGAAGAAAACTTTTGCAATTGAGAAATCTGACTCCATGAAAAACCTAAAAAACGCTGCATTGGTCAGAATAACAAAAAATCTGGAATTTCTTATTCTTTTGACAATTATTTCATAAAATCTATCCAAAAATGCCAAACTTACAAAATAAACTCTGTAACAACCACTTTCTTTTACCAAATTCATAATATAGATTAATAAAAAGACAGCATATTTCTCAAAACAGTTGGGCCCAAAAATTTCTTTACTTAATAATTACATTCTTTACAAAACAAAGCATCATGTGTACAAAGACTCTAAAAAACGAAAACAGTGGACAGTGCAGCCAAATCTCCCCACTTGCCGACGTCCATCTGACCAAGTCCTCACCTATTTCCTGTATAACAAAGAAAACAATGGAGTGAGCACAAAGATGCCCAGTAAGTAAAAAAGTCTCTTACGCTATCATCCCCGTGCATTACTCATTAAATTCTCTTTGTATTCTTATCAATTTTCTAATTCAAATTCTCATTTTTCTTTCTTTTCTTTCTTTTCTATTCTTTTATTTTTCTCAATCTCATTCCGCTTTCTCATGGCGGAGATCGTTCTCTCTCTCATAGCGGTTTACATGCATTCCGCTCTCTCATGGCGGAGACCGTTCTTTCTCATAACGGGTCACATGCATTCTGCTCTCTCATGGCGGAAACCGTTCTTTCTCATAACGGTTTACATGAGGGTAACTCTATACTCACGAGTTCCCCATCGCACAACCTAATTTCTTTTCTTTTCTGTAGCACTTAAGAATCATTTTATCTTCCAGTGCTAGTTCTTTCTTTCTTTTTACTCTAAGAGAATTTGCTCTTTTCTTTATCTCTATTCATAGAGTGTTTCTTTCTCATTTCTCATATTTCTTTCTCATGTGATTACTCAATTAAACATATGCATATGGATGGCTCATGCCTAAAATCTTTCTTATATGCATTCATGACATGCAATTATGCTATGTTGCATAAAGTAAGGTTCTCTACTTCTACTCATGCTTCTTTTAGACATTTCATCAAATAGAATGTGTGCATACATAAACCCTATTCTAACTTTAATTATGCTTCTTTCTTAATCATCCAAAATAGGAGTTCAACTCCTTTAAAACATCATACAACCTGCAAGGAAAATAAACTTCAAATAATCTTCTCAAATCCTTCTAATTCTATTCACACTTCTTGTCAACTTTAACAACACAATCCACCCTTCTCATGGTGGAAATTCTTTCTTATAACAACCTTGAATTCATCAACTCATTTTAAACATAAAAATTCAAGCATCAAGCATATATCTAAAAATCTCTACACATCATTCAATCTAGTAAATCACAACTTAGGTGAATTTACTTACCTTGGACACAAGTAGAATCCACTAAACCTCTCTACTCTTGATGGCTTGACACTTTCTCTTAACCTTCAATACAAAACTTAATAAGGATCCCATTCTTTCAACAAATAAAAATTTGCTTCTAGAGTAAGGATTCTCACCTTTTAGTGCTTAGGATCAACTTGTAACAAATTCTAGTCAAAAGCTCTACAAAGATCCTTGGAATCTTGAATGAAAAATTGAGAGAAATAAGGGATGAAAGAGGCGGTGGTGAAGAAGCAAAATGAAAGGGTTTCTAAAGCTAACCCTTAAAATCACATATTTTTCTCCACTCTTTCCCAAAATACCCTTACTCTCTCTTTGAAATTCCATTTAAGACCTTTCATTCTTTGCAAACACAACCCCAATCAAACTATTCTCCATGGAATTTCCTTACAATTCACTCCCCACTTTTCCTGCTAAAAAGGGGTAGAATGGTCATTGAGTCTCAAAAGAAAGAAATCTAAAAAAACTCAAGGGGAACATTCAGCCGGGTCTTCGCCGCAGCGAAGCTATTTTCTTCGCCCCGGCGAAGTCTCACAGAAGCTACACGGGTTGTAGCACCCCTTATCGCCGCGGCGATGATTATTCTTCGCCCCGGCGAAGACTGTAACCCTAATATATCGCCAAGTCTTACAAATTTTTAGGGAATCACTCGACCAAACCAAGACACATTTTCATCCAAGGATAAACCGAACAATATTAACAACATACAAACTCAAATGAGGATAAATCAATAAACATTTAAGCCATTCATCAAATCTTAACTACGTACCTCAAGTGGGGTGTTACAAACTCTAATCAACTCAACTAGGCATAAAACATAACAAAAAACATAATATGGAAGGAATGAAAAAATATATAAATTACACTCTTATCAGTATTCTCTCCCTGAAATGTGTATGTAAAGCCTAAAACTCCCTAAAAATGGACAAAAGCTATCTTTATATAGTTTTTACACAAAATGGCAAACTTGTAAATACTAGTAGCCGAAATTAGGGTTGGAAATGCAACATTTTTACATTCTACGCGATTTACACTATGGCTCACTTTATTTACGTCGTGGCTTAATTGAATTGTGCCTCGACTTGTTTGAATTGCACCTCGGTGCGTTTATGCCATGGCTCAGTTGAATTGCATGCGGCTCAGTTTTATTGAGCCGTAGCGCAAAGTTTAAATTTCACACTTTTACTTCTCGCCTTAATTTATCTGCACTCGAACGAGTCTTAGATGTCTGAACACCAACACAAGCACGAATAATCCGTTCTTTTGCACCTGAATACCTGAAAAATACACAACACTTGTGATTTCAGAAGATAACAATACATGCAAGAAATTACATCATAAATCATGCGTTAAACCTTAAATTCTTTATAGTTTCACCCCAAATCACAAAATAAATCCGCATTTCCAACACTCAACACTCACTACAGTAATGCCTGATTTTTCAGGTACTACATGAACAAGAGTAACCCACTTACTGTCAGAGATAGGATAAATTACTCCTGTGTCTAAGAGTTTTAAAATTTCCTTTTTCACTAGCTCTTGCATGTTAGGGTTTAGTCTCTTTTGGGCCTCTCTAATAGGTTTGGCATCGTCCTCTAAAATTATCTTATGCATGCACATCGCTGGACTAATGCCCCTAATGTCACTTATGCTCCAACCTATAGCTTTCCTAAGTCTACTAAGCTCTCTTACTAGTCGCTCTTCTTAGGTTTGGGTCAAGTTTGCTGAAATTATCTCCCTTTCCCAAAAATACATATTTAAGGTGCTTAGGTAACTTTTTGAACTCTAGCTTAGGTGGATTAAGCTCGTCCCTATGTGGGGATGTTGGTAACTCTAAGGGTTTACTAGACTTTTCTTGTGGTAAAACAGGAAGTGATCTATCTAGTATCTCGTGGAATCCCTTAGTTTCCTTATCAAGTGTTTCCACTATCCTATCAAGTGTTAGTGCAGCTTCAAGCTTATCTTCTATCTTCTCCTGCAAATAAGTGTCATAAACAAGTGAGTCCACACAATCAATAAAAGAACACTCATCAAAAGTAGAAGTAGTAGGAATAGGTAGAGAACCAAAAACTTTAAATTCAACAGTCTCACCTAAGACTATCATGGATAACTTCCCTTTATGGACATCTACAATTGTCTTGGTTGTCGCCATGACTGGTCTACCTAGCAAAATTGTATGCTCCTTGTCCTTTGAAGATAGTTCTTCCATCTCTAAAACCACAAATTCGATGGGAACAATCAACTTGTCGACTTGCACTAATGAATTCTCAACTATCCCCTTTGGGTATTTGACCGACCTATCTGCAAGTTGAAGGGTCATAGTTGTTGGCTTAAGCTCCCCCAAACCTAGTGCCAAGTATATTGAGTAAGGCATGAGATTAATACTCGCTCCCAAGTCTATCATAGCTTTCGCGATTTTCTTGTCTCCTATGGTGATGTTTATGTTGAAACTTCTAGGATCTTTCAATTTAGGAGGAAAGTTTTGTTGGAGCACCGCACTAGCAACTTTTGAAACCATGTCTTTCTCGTTCTTCTCATATCTCCTCTTTTTGTTATTGAGTTCCTTGAAAAAATTTGCATAGGAAAGCATATTCCTAATAACATCCAAAATAGGCAAGCTAATGTTAACTTTAGAAAGCATTTTGGTGTGCTGTCATAGGCACCTAGAATTAAAACCTAAAAACACATGTAGTAGTGTGAGTTAGGATCATTCCCACAGAGAGTGTCTAGCCGAATTTAATGTACGTGAAACAGTATGGGGGGGGGGGGGGGGGGGGGGGGGTGAGTAAAAATAGAAACAATTTCAGGAAAAAAACAATTCAAATAATCAATCAATCAAATAACAAACCTTGGTCTAAGTCAACATCCACCATCGGAATCTTACAACTGATCATCGATGCGAAAATAAATCAATTCATACTTTGAATATTCACATTGGACTATTTTCCTATCTCTCCTTAGTTGTAATTAATTAAGAAACAAGCGATCTAATTAACCTTACTACTAAACAACCCTAGAAAAGCGCTAAAGATATAATCTAGTGGCAGTCTTAAGACCTAGAGAGATCGATGAAGCTAAAAAACACAAACTCAAGCGATTGTATTTAATTTAGTTGAATGTTCTTCTTAAGACTTAATAATTCCTGACACAGCAAATTCTTAAACCCTAATTACTTCACAAGTTAGAGGGATCAAACAATTACGGATTTGATATCTAACTTAGCAGTAGATTGCAACAATTAATAAAGTAGTGGGCCTCCTAGTAATTAAATGCAACAATCATGAAAATAGGCACAGAAGAACAATCAATACTCAAACATAAATTGAACACTTGAAGAAAAAACCAGATTGATTTCACAATTTATTGATTCTGAGGTCTTGTTTCCTTCGACCAAGTTATAAAAATTAGCCACTCATGGCCATCACGAAAATTCCAAGGAAAAACGAAAATCAACCTGAGAGAGAAGAGAGAGGCATGTGTGTTATTCTATAATCCCTAATATGATCTCCCTTTAAAAATATCTAATTCAAATTCAAATTCTACTCAATCTAAATCTCCTAAAAATATTCTAAAATCCCAAAACAACCTTTATCCTAATCTGAGTAATTGAAAATAAAATAAAGTCTTAATACAAAATAGGAAAATGGTGTTTCCAGCTGTAATTTGCATGCAACAGGTCTTCAAAACTTCTTGTAATAATCTGCCTATTTGAATTGCATGACAAGGCAGAATGTTCCAGAACGTCGATAGTGCAGATGTGTCAACTTCAAGCCCGATTACAACCTTTATGAAGCTAGTATCTCTCTAAACTCAAAACACAAAAGTTGTATATATCTTTCTTAGTGTTCCATAGCATTTTGAATCATCTCAATCGGAGCTTTGATGAGAGAGTTATTCCCAGATTACGAAACAACGTCGAAACGATATTCAAAACATGAAAGTTATATATATCTTTGAATGCAAAATGTCCAAATTCACTTAATTAGTTCTGTTTTGCAATTAACGCCTCCATTTGCATCCAAAATCAAAATAGAATAATAATGAGTACATTTAGGCAACAAATAAGTATAAAATCCTAGACATTAATGGGGGTAAATATGACATTTTGCATTCTCATCACATATAAAAAATTTCAGAAAATTGCTTATCCTGTTTATTGTCCTTTAGTCAATTTGGATAAGGAATTGGATGTCTATAAGGCTTCGTCGCCTTATGAGGTGTTAGTAAGGAGGAATCCTTTGTTCCTTTATCTTTGTTGATTGGCTTATATGATTGAACATCCTTTTCTTGCACTTTCTTAGGATTTTCTCATCTATCACGCTTCTCATCCCAATTTTCTGCATCATGTGGTAAGTCATTAGAATTTTTATTATCAACATCTTGATTTAAAATCTTACCACTTCGAAGGACTATAATAGCCTTTGCTTGCTCGGGTTGACTCGACAACTTTCCTTGTTGATGTCCTTATAGTTGACTCGCAAGTTGCCCGACTTGCACTTTTACCCTCTTCATAGATGCTTCTAGAAAGTCCAGCCTTTGATTATTTCTCTCCTGATTTCCTCTACTAACTTGAATAAAGGCATTCAAGCTTTCTTCCAAGGTTGGATTTGTAGGTTGGTTAGGTGGTATGGCTTGGTTTGGAAATTGACTAGGCCTTGGGTTTTGGGTAAAGGTATGATTATTATTAGTCTTCCAGGAAAAATTAGGATGATTTCTCCACCTAGGATTATAAGTGTTTGAATAAGGATCATTCGTAGGCTTAGGTTGGTAAGACTCCATCAAATTGGCATGTTCTTGTTCATTCCCTGCATAAGAGTCATAAGACAAAGAACAAGTGTTAGCACCATACCCTAAAACACCACATACTCCACATACCTCATTATTCATTGTATTTTTAGTAGTAAGAAGTTTGACTTGCTTAGTCAATTCAGCAAGCTGCAAAGCCATCTCATTGTCAGAGCTTAATTCATGTACTCCATCTCTTCTTCCTCTCATGTTCTTTTGTTAGGAATTAGCACCCAACATCTCGTATAACTCAATCATTTCTGTAGCAATTTTCTCTCTTATTGCTTCACTAGTGTGTTGTCCATAATATACTAACATTGTTGTGTCAATCTATCATAAAACAACTAATTTTAGAATTGAAGCAGGTAATGATGGTGAGGACATTGGATGAGAAGCAACTTAAATTTGTCCCATGCCTCATGAAAAGGCTCTCCTTCCATTTGAGAAAGCATGGCAATCTTGGTCCCCAAGTCAGCAGTCTTTTGATGAAAATAAAATTTGCCCATGAACTTATTGTAAACCGTTTCCCATGTAGTCAATGAACTAGGTTGAAGAGTAATAAACCCAGCTTTAGCTCTATCCTTAAAGGTTTAGGTAAAACATCCCATCCTTAATTGATCCTCATTGAGTCCTTGTAATGGAAAAGTTTGCACAGTGGCATAAAATTCTCTTATGAATGTCAAAGAGTTTTCATTAGGAACTCCGTAGAAGGAAAGGCAACATACTATAATGGATATTTTTCAGCTCATAATTCCTAGCTGCTTCCCCCAATTGTATGCAAGATGTGGCATTCCCAATGATTGGCCTTGCATATTTCTTCATTATCCTTTGGTTCCCTACTGGCTCCATATTTTCCATTTCTTCAAAGCTTTCCTTTTCATCCTCGGAATGTAATGGTCAAAGATATCCTCAGAATATTCTTCAACTAACTTCTGCAAATTCTCCGTAATCCTATGAATATTATCAATTGGTGGTGCGAGGTTTCCTCCTAAGGATTTTCGACCTTGCATATACCTAAAACAAAAACCAAGAAAAATTCAAATAAAGCAAAACAAATAACAAAATTCAAAACAAAACACAGAAAATAAATATAAAATTTAAACACCAATTCCCTGGCAATGGTGCCAAAAACTTGATGTGCAAATTAGATACTCGCAAGCACACGAATCACAAATAGCCAGCAATAAGTATACTCCCAAGGTCGATCTCTCGCAGAATTGTAGTTGTCTAAATTCTTAATTTATTTTCTTTAACAACTAAACTAACAATTAATTAAATCCTAAACACTCTAATCAAAAGATTGATGATATTAATCTAAAATAAAACTATAACTTAATTAAAATTAACAAATGCAATCTGCTGAATGTGAATTAAATCAATGAGAGTGATCGTAGGGATTTAGCTAACTTCTCAATCATGTATTGGAATATTTGGCAAATAAAACAATTAAATCCTAAGTTTAGATTGTTGATTTTTCCACTAAGCCATAGAGAATTCCAATGATCATGTTTATTCTCCGTTTATAATTAACTAATTAACTTCTATGATCAAGTTGGTAACTAATTAATTGTAATCTGCACAAGGAAATCACACAACCATCCAAATCAGAACAATGATCATGTATTCAATATGAACTCTTGTTTAATAGAGCTTAATCAAGGCAAGATGATCACTAGAATTCTAATTCTTAATTTTAATTATAAAAAGTAGTTAGCCAGCCAACAAATTATAATTAAGATTATGAAGAACATATAAACAAGAAAAAATCTAAAACTTCCATAAAACAAATCACCGAATACCCAATACAACAATGATAGCTAAACTGAACTCCCACAATATATTTAGTTGCTCATAATCAAACTCAAACCAATGAACTCAATGAATGAAAAACTAATCATATTGTAAAATAAGATGTAACTAAAAAAAATCACCTAGGAATTGAGGTAGATTGATCCTCTTCCTTCTCTCCCTTGTTGAAAAGTCACAATATTCTCACACTAAAGACACACTCTCAAAAACGTAAAAGAGCATCCAAAATCCACACAAGTCTGCCTCACTTGTGTTAAAAGTATGTATATATAGCCTAGGGTTTCTAAGGGTATGACTGGGAGTAAAACAAAATAATAAATCGGGTAAAAATAACAAAAATTCATGCACTTAAGGGTCCTGGACGCTCAGTGCAGTGACAAAAATGGTTGCTACGGCGATAGTCAATTGGCTTCACGTTTGAATCCCAAAACATGATTGCCACAACAACAAAAATTGTTGCTGCAGTGATGGTTCTCCAAAACACCCGATATATTCTGAATTTGACAAAGTAACCTGCCTAAGAATTGTAGCTCTTTGAATCAGATTTCCAACGCCACAAGAATCATCCAATTTGGAGTTCTACAGCTCAAGTTATGATCAAAATACGGAAGCACGTTCACAATTTAAGAAAATTTCAGGATTCGAATCTCATCTTCAAAGAAGCATAACTTCCTCGTTTCAACTCCGATTCTTGACCCATTGTGCAAATTTCTTCCAAATGCATTCCAAAAGCTCATTTACCTTCAAAATGTTAAAACCCGCCTCAAAGTAACATATTCTTAAGGTAAAACACACAAATAGCAGCTAAAAACATAACAAAATACTAGGACAAATATTGGTTTATCAGTTCTGTAATCCCTACCAGAATCCTTCTCACAGTTCATATTGAACTTCAATATGACTGGTATGGAGAAGTCCCTCTCTAATCTCCTGAATATGCTCAAGATAGCAGAGAAATACATGACGAAGTCAAAGCTAATGATGCCAGTTGATGTTTGTAATTGACCATATCGAGGTATGTAGCTTTACATATCCCTAATACCCTTA